GAAGCAAGATAATCCGGCACAGTAGTACATTTCTCGAAGGCTCAGAAAACGGCCTCATTTTTGGGCCTGCATTTTGGTGCCGGAGAGACAATTTCGAGCCCGTTCTTGGAAATTGTGAGTGTTGTTGGAGATTCGAAATTTATGCATGGCAGTGGCCAAGAGCTCAGGTTTGTTCACTGGCATTTTTGTTGCGGTTGCTGGCTTTGTACGCCGCTTGCGTGTCTCGTTGACGATTTAAACTTAAACAGTCTGGATCGTCTTTTTTGGTGCGCAACTGCATGGCGGATGAGCACCGGTCCGTTTCTCAAAAGACTGGAACATTTTTAGCTTGTTTGGAAGGCCGATGGTTCTGTCAGTGTATGAGGGTGCATGCTGCTAGCAGGCACAAGGGTTGCACAAATAGGTAATTTGATTCCTTACCATTGCTGGCATGCGTGGTTGCGAAAATGCTTTGCAATCGACATTGAATCTGGCAAGTCTTCGAAACAGCTGCCTTTCTTGAGCTTGGTTCTGCACAAACACGCTTGTGATTGATTCAATTTCACTCGAATCTCGCTGTTTTCGTGGACTTGCCTCAGGCTGACCGCGACACTTGGTTGCAACGGAAACAACGGCACAATACAGAGTACCCATCTTGCGATGTAGTAACTATGTGATCCACATCTTGCATATGTCAAAGAGCAGGTTGGGAGCACAACACGTCGCCCAATTCCCAAACCCTTGTCTTCGAAGCAGATTCTTACATGCAGGTGCAGTGACTGTACTGTACAGCGTACGGGTGATTTCAACACGTCGGTTCTGCAATATGTCTTTGACAAAATCGCCCGCAGCTCCTACATTGTGGCATGGGCATGACCGGCATGTTTTTTTTAAAATGCTTTGTGACACATAGATTGATCGCTTGTGACAGGAAGAGAACCCTCGACCCCCAACCATGAACGGTACCCATTCTGCAGTGTCGCCAGGCTTCCTGAAAGTTGAAGAACGTTCGGCGCTTGCAGGCGTGGCTTTATCCTCAGAGTTCCTGGTCTCGAGGGCGGAGGAAAGTTGGGATGGAAGCCCGAAACTTTCACTGCTTCGAGGTGGCTTGAAAGCCCCAAACGAGCGGCCGTATTTCCAACACCTCCAGAGGCAACTATGACAGGAACATGAACCAAAGTAGTAACAAGATGTATCACCCTACTAGTGGAATCTGGAAGGTTTAGCAAGTTTAGTAGTAGCAGCAGTGGTTGTAGCTGCAGTAGGAGGAAGCGATTTTTGGTGGCAGGTCTGGGATTTCTTTCTGATGCTTGGGTTCAGGCTTTCGGATTTTGGGTTTATGTTTAAGCGGATCAGGGTCGTGGGATTTGGGGCCTAGGGCCTCCCCTCAACCCTAAACCCTAAACCCCTCGGGTTTTAATGTAGGGGATGTTTGTGCGCTGATGCACGGGGAAGCTTTCAGTCGTAGTTGCTGCAGTGTTTATGGTTTAGGGTTTAGGGAAGTTGGCAATCAATTTCTGTTGATGTGGAGGGTGCGGGCTTTGACGCCTCTTACGACATTGTTTTTAAGTTTCTGTTGTAGGTGTTAGGCCCCTTCTTACAACCTGCATTTGAGAACATCCTGACATTTCAACTCGGCATCTGCAGCTGTTACCGCTCAGAGTTTTTGGAGAGTTGTGTCGCCATGACGTCACCAACATACCAGCGCACCCCGCTGGACAAGCGGCCGGATTTCATCAAGATCCTGTGCGTGGCAGGCAAGAGCCGATGCCTGACATGCTTGGACGAGCAAGAGAAGGGGTCATAGGATGTATGATGTATGGCAGCTGTGCTTACTATGACGACAGTCAGGACCTGATCATACTCATCATCGTCATTTGTCGTCATCAGCTGTACCACCATCACCGTCGTCGTCATCATCATCAGCACCGCCCTAATCAACAGCAGCAAAGTAGCAGGAACTTTTGATTAGGGGGAGTTGGTGTTGTGCAGGAAGCGGGTGGGCTTTGCAGTGTCGATGGTATCGTGCTTGTGCGACCGTTGCATGTGCCGCCTGTGAGGCTTCTACTGCATCATTTCCGGTGCCCTAAACGGTTCGCATCCCAGCTGTGGGTTCTGATTTCTTAGACACAATCTTATATTGTCTAGTGCTATATTATCTCTTACTATCCTTTATTATACCGCACTTTCTTACATGATATTGGATCGGCGCAGTGCCAGAAGCTCCCAGAAGCACCTGGCCGCGATGTCGGAAGCTTGTAAGATCTTGTAAGCTATCTAGGCACAAGATGCTCATGGGGCAAGAATCATGCGAACTTCTGAGTTTGTCAGGCTGCATGCCAGTGACGTCCGGCTCAGGTTTAGAGATGATGTTTCCGTTTGGGGTTTAGGGTTTTGGGTTTAGGGTTTTGGGTTTAGGGGTTTAGGGTTTAGGGAAAAGGGTTTGGGGTTTAGGTTTAAGGGTTTACAGCACAGAGTCATTAATCAGTTCTCAGACAACGGCGAGGTGTGGCAGTGCAGGAGCTGGGCACACCCGTTGGCTACACCTCCGGCGGCATGGTGAACTCAGGTGTGGACAGAGCTATCAGGGTTTCCTGGAGACTTGCAGGGCTCTTCGCTGTTGTCAGAGTGGGGAATTTCGGGTTCATGTTTCTAGTTCAAGGACGCCCCTGCAAAGTCTGAGAGACGAAAAAGACGACCCCTTACTTGCAGGTTCATGGGTAGTTATAAATGGCGGTTTTAAGTCCCCTAATGTGGCTTATAGTTACAGTCACCCTACGTATAACCCCAAGTATAACTACCCATGAACCTCCAAGTAAGCCAACCTACTACCTGCCTTTGCCACTGCCGTGAGCAGCTGCAGCGATGTCTAAAGAAGGTCGGTTCTTCGCAACGGGCAACGCGGAAGCTCCGAAAATCTTGGCGATGTGTGCGTCCTTCTACTGTGGAGGTGTGGGACTGTTGCTACCTTGCTGTGAATGCTGTCGCCTGGGTCGTCTTCAGATTGGAGGTGCTCACCAAGTTCTGTGCAGTAGTACGACGACAGCTAGAGTGCACATGCGTCGGTATGCCCAACACGTTAATGCTGGCAGTCTCTACATGTGCCTAGTTTGTCAGGCGCTTCAGGTGGCTCCGGGCTTCAGTGAGAAACGGTGACAAGAACCATATCATACCTTCTTCATAGCCGTCCTCGAGGTGAAACTCAAGCATAATGACATATTACAGTCTGCTGCAAACCCCTGAACCCGAAACACGCAACCCTGAAACAGTTAAAGCCGCAAATCCTAGAACTATAAGTCCTGAAAGCCCTAAACCCTAACCCTAAAACCCTAACGGAATGAGATGCTACAGCCCAGTCTACGCAGAGGCCTCCTCGCAGGGATCTGGCCCAGTGGCTGTGACGGCGACCACGTCTTCGAAGGAAGATCCTCACCAGGCCGGTTTAGGGTTTAGGGATTAGAGTTCAGGGATTAGGCAATCGTTCAATCATAAGAATATGATTAAAACTACTACTACTTCTACTACTACTACTACTACTACTACTACTACTATTACTACTACCACTACTACTACCACTACTACGACTACTACTACTACTACTACTACTACTACTACTACTCCTACTCATCCACCTGCTGC